GTTCCTGTGATGTCACAGTGTAAGGCAGAAGTAAAGCCCTACCCCAGACATCTGTTTCCTCATGAAGTAGTTGAAGTGCATCCACTGGAATGATGTTGGCAACATTGTGGTTCATCCATAAAGTCCAACAGAACAAAGAACAACTGCTCACATTCATCAGGATATAGGAGAGTGAGACTCTCACACATACCTCTAGGCCATAGATAATCTTCCAGCATACATTTATTGAGAGTGTTTGTTATGTATGAGAAGGCATTGCAGACAGTGTAGAAATAAAGCAACAAATCATCTACTCTCCAAGAGTTTATATTACAATACAGAAAATAGAAACTACACAATGATCAAGACAGAAAAAAATTCACAAGGAAGTAAAAAAGAATGTATTAAAGGGTGCATTTAAATCCAGGAGGCTTTGAAGGGGTTGTCTTGGGAGGAGACATCAAGACAACACACCATGTCACGTCAGGAAAGATAAGTGTGTGGAGAGAGTGATTACTAATGACTCCAGGAGATCTCCTCAACAAGGTCAAGAATCCAGAGCTCAGCAAGTCTGGCCATAGGGAAGACTTCATTTTGAGTATGAAAAGAAACTGATGGAGGTTTTTGAGCAAGAAAAAATATTTGAGCCAGAGTTAAACAAAAGTGACTCTAAATGACAGGTTGTGAATGTTGCATTCTCTATTAGTTCCCACTCAGGGCTGGGTCAGGCTTCTGAAGTCTGAGATTTGTAAGCTGATCATTCTGGGAAGTGCAGATCTTTAATTCTATTTTCTAAAAGCCCTCATGTTAGACTAGGCACAGCTGGGCCAAAGTCTAAAGTACAGTCAGAATTGTATTCACTCATTGAAATAGTGGAGATTAAGTTAGCAGGACCCCAGAGTTCACTAACATTGTTCTGGAAATCATGAGAAAGCAGTCTCTGTGTTGTGGTACAAGATAGCCGAGGTCTGGAGTCCTCTTCTCCTGGAGTATGAAGTAATATCTGAAATAGCTGGGATTATGTCTACATGATGTTGCCACCAAAACATTGTCAATAGACATTGGCTTATTCTGCTAGAAATTCAAGTATCAGTAATTGTATATCTCAACCTAAGTACTGACTTGAGAGTTTTGGTGAAGCAGGACAGTGGTGAAAAGGGTTACTTAAATAGAGGCTTTAAAATGCCATAAAATACTGGCCATACTTAAGAATATTCATTTTCACACTCTTGAGTGCAATAGTTGCTGCCAAGATAATATTTTTGGAGCAGTCTAACTTAGTGCCAGAAAAGAATAATCAAGATATCCCTGGATTTGAACCTGACCCTTGTAAATGTCGACTTTGAACTATATTGAGGTTTTTCTCTTCAAATATCTAGAAAAGTAACAAGCTGATTCTATAAGAATATTACTACTTTTCCTCATTAGAAGTTTGCAGAGACATCTCAATGTTTTAATAAAAGATATCAGGACAAACAAAATAGAAAGTTGATTCAGTTTTATATTTGATTAAGTTATTTATTTATGTATTTATGTATTTATGTATGTATTTATTTATTTATGACCATCTCATACATTTCTAGAGTGAATTTCAAGCCTCAATCATCATTTCCTCCATCCCCCACTGGAATTCTTCTCAACACATTTCCCTCTTACATCCATATCTCCTTTTTGGGTGTGACCCATTGAATTTAAGAGATACTTGCTGGGTCATGGGTCAGTGTTATTTTGCAGATCAATGGCATCTTACATGTGTCTACACTACCAAACAAATGATATCCCTTTCCAGTGACTGCTCTTAAATAACTCTTAAAAACCCACTGATATGTTCTGATGCATGAAAATGACTCTTACGCAAGAAAGGTGATCAATCTGTTTTATAATTCTTTATCTAATGTACACCAGTAAGCAGCAGCATCACTGACATTTAGGTTTGCAGAGCTACCACCCCAAATTGCAGGGGGCATCCTTCTTAGTGTAAATAGTATACAAGAAGACACATCCAGGGAATTGGATCTCCCATCTGAGGAAATTGTTCCATAAGGCTTCAGAAAAGGAGTTTGGGATTTTAGCCCAGTGGTAGAATGCTGGCCTAATGTGTACAAACCCTGTAATTACAGTCTCAATACTAGAAAAACTTTAAATGAGTCCACAGAAAATTCACGAGATAAAGTCATAAGCACTGATCAGCTTTGGTCTGGATATCTTGATGGCCCCTGGAGCCCAGCCTCCTACATGCTGTCTGTCACCCACATACCTTCACATGGGCAACTCTCTAACTCTACACCTCTCTGCACATGCTTCCACACCTCAAGCTCCAAGTAGTATCTTTTGGAAACATCATGAATTGTCTGAAACCTAAGAGAAATAATCCAATATTTCCTGACCTCTAGGTTTAACTAGTCCAAAGGCATCCACAAGTCCTTTTATTGACAAGGGATAATGTAACCAGATTGTTCATTCATGTCTCTTATCACTAAGAATAGCCCTCCTATTAATGTGAATCAGAGATCTGGAATTGAAGAGAAAAAAAGCAATAGATCATATTTTCCTCCACTTTTTTCCTCTACAAAAAATCGTCACACACACACACACACACACACACACACACACACACACACACACACACGATGGCCTAATGAGAAAGAAAATATATTGCTTTTGCAGAGGACCTGAGTTCTGTTCACAGCTCCCAATTTGGCAACTCACAACAGCCTAGAAATCTACTTGCAGGGTTATCTGACACCTCGGGCAGCTACACTCATGTACACAAACCTACATACAGGCACATGCCGAGACACAATTAAAAATAATAAAATGAATGTTGGGAAAGAAAAACAGTCATAACTGCCCAACATCAACTGTAATTTGGTGCACATAATTTTTTTAAAAAATGTTGCCTATGTACATTATGTATATCACATTATGTATATAGAAAAACCTTTAATTGCAACAGAGTATTGGTTATGTTATAAATTTTTTACAAATAGTTGTTACATTATATTGCTGCATGTCAGTAAAGACAGATATGCAACAAGAGTTTAAACAGCTACAATTATCCTTGGTAGGAATACATCACAACTTATTTAAGAAATCTCTTGACATTTGTTCAGTTGTGTTTATATAGTTATAATAAATCTTGTAATGAATACACTAAAGTATCCTATTTTTTCATTTGTGTGATTATTTCCTTAGAATATATTCTTAGAAGTGAGACTACCTGGTTAAAATAAGCAGCTTTCAGTGATTTCGACACATGTAACACATAGTCCTCAAGGGAGGATGTACCAATTCATCCCATCAATAGTGAATGAGTGTGGGAGGCTTCTTTTTCCATTCAGCTCTCATCAGGCATTGCTTTTAAGTTCTTGACAATGTAACCTCAATGGAGCCAGGGTACATTTGGAGAGGGAAGTCTCAGAATTTGGGATTATGTCATGGCCCTTCAGGAATCATAAATGTGAAGACTGCTTGCTACCCAGGTTTCTGTGGGCAGCAGGAAGTGTTTTGGGGCATGTGCAGCATGCTAATGCCACATAGCAAATGTCTGCAGCTCGACAAAGGCATAACCAGTGTTTGATGAGGATCCAGCAGGAAGTGCAGGGATCCTTTGGCATTTCTGAAACCCAGAAGGAGAAATTATTCTCTAGCTGCAAAACGGATTTCAATGATCAAATGCAGTGTTCGAAGCAGAGACCAGGGTCCTGTCTTCTGCCTCATTCTAATGATATTACTCAAGGGCTGCCTGATATTTTCTAGGATAAAGGACAGTACAAGCAGGGACAGGATTCTTTATGCAGGAAGTGTTTCTAGTCAATGATCTAGAAGAAATGTACAAATTCAAAAGTCTGATTATGAAAAGAAGTAGAAACTTTGCACCATTTGCAGGGATGCATTTCTGATATAATGAAAAAGGTAGGGCACCATTAGCAGCAGGAAGCATTTAGCTGAATTTTTTCATCGTTCCTTAATAATCCTGATTAACAAACACTATGTAATCAAGTTCCTGTACCAGGCTAATGACTTTAATATTTTAGTTCTGCTGCGGCAAGCAACATCATTTTCACTATCTATAATAACACATATCAGTAACAAACTGGCAGATCAAATGAGATTGACTCTACATTCTGTTTCTTCTTTCCAGAGCTGTATTTATATGACAGTGCCTCTTAACTTTATCTTGGCTTGATAGAATGCCTGTTTTAGTTGGGTATTATTCTGATGAAAATCAACTAAAGCGATGCAGATAGGGAGATCATATATGCATATTTTCAGGTGTGCTGCAATTGCCCTTTTCTTCTGGTAGACAATCACAGAACTCAACTACCATTATCAACCCAGGATACATGTAGAAGCTAGAACTGTTAGAAATTGCCTAGTTAATTTGGTTAATGTTGAGAGAGAGAGTGTGTGTGTGTGTGTGTGTGTGTGTGTGTGTGTGTGTGTTGACTCAAAATTATTCAAACAGGCCACTCATTGTTTCTACACTTGTAAAACAATATGCCACAGCGTGGAGAGGGAGAATCTACCACTTATCCATCAATTAGATGCATCAGTTTCAGAGCCTTTTCTGAGATGGACTTGCCCAGTTTTGCCAATTTGTTATTCAGCTGCCAGGATTTGGTCCATGCCTTTTCCTGTTGTTTATTTCTGTAGTGCTCATTTCTTTTAATTCTTCCTGCTGCCAGGGTTTACTACCATCATCCTGAAGCTAAAAGTACTACCATTGCTCAAGTCTTTCAATATAATTTCAGCAACATTCTTGGCTCAATTTTCCAAGACCCATGATGGGACCAAACTATACATCACTGTGTGGAAGTGCACATCAATAAATCCTATTCTGTCTTGGATGGGAGTATTAAACTAAGTGAAAAGAGCTGTGTTTGGCCTGTGGAATTATGATGAGATGCAAAGCAAAACAACAGCAACTAAGACATTGCAGAGGGAGTTTCAATATCCAAACGAAATGATTTGTTTCCTGTCACTCATGTTTTATTCTCTGTAGGTATCAAATATCTTACCTCAGTCAAGTTTTTGCATCTGTAGATATCAAATATCTCAGCTCAGGTCCGTTCTCAATGGAAATAACTTGTAAAACAAAGGAAACAAAACAGATCCAAAATTAGTATTCCTTTATGCAGACAGAAGGAGACAGAAGATATGTCTGACATTTAGTATGAAGTCCATTCAGATGGACTTCCAGCAATGACACAATGTTTATAATTTGCTTACAAAATAATAGAATAAATTTGAAGTATTTTCCTTTCTTACGTGTCTTAAAATCTACCCTCTGTCAATAAGGTGATACCTAAGAGACTTGATGATGAATCTAAACACTGTAGCAAATGTATTATTTTACATGCTTAAATAAATGCATTCATATGAGTAAACCTTTTCATCCTCATTAATACACTTTCAGGAAAAAGAGGAAACATGTGAGAATAAAGGGTCAAAGAAAAGCTTCTGTGCTCCTGTGTGTGCTATACTCTAAGGATTTGGAGGTACAAAATCTGGCCAAGGGCTTTGGGTAGAGTGTGTTTCTGTTTAATGTTTAATTAGGTGAAATAAGAGAGAATTAGTTACTATTACGGTTGAAAGCTCAGACCTCATGGTCACACTGCCCAGATTTGAACATGAAGCCAGTCATGGATCACCTGAGAGATCCAGTTATTTGGCATGTACATGATCCAGTGTGTTACAGTATACAGTGGTGATCTCAGGAAGATGGACTTCCTTAAGCATGCTGTGAATAGACTTAGATTTGCACTTTGGGGGCTTAGAACAAGGCCTGGAATGAATCCAATACTTTTTTGTTGCTGTTGTTTTTAAAAGGACTCTATGTCTTTTGTCCAGGGTTATCTTGAACTCATAAACTCAAGTGATCCACTAGCCTCAGTCTTCTGAGGACCTGGGACTTCAAGTGGGTGTCACCATTCCCAGATTAGGCTGAACACTTGATGGTCATGTATGTCATCACTACTAGGGTAGTGGGGCAGATCAGTTTATGCATTGGAAGACCCAAAAAGATAGGGAAAAATAATTTTCTATCATTTGTTTGTCAATAATTCTACCTACAAATTTCTTGATGAAAGAATGGGAGGAAGATCAATTTTTCAAAGGCTTCTTTAAGTCAAGCATGATTCTGGCCCTGGAGAGACTAGGGTGGAAGGTTAGAATTCTAAGGCTAGCCTGAGCTATATTTCAAAATCTTGTCTCAAAGACAACAGAGAGGTAGCATGTGTTTATCATTTTCATATTAAAGTGTTATATTTTAGTTGTCATAGAATAAAGCTGATGCTTTTCTCCGTATAATGCTATGATTTTATTACATGTACAGAGTTGGGCAAGTACCACCACAATAAGAACAAAGCAATCACTATAAATTATTCTTCTTATGCTACATGTAGCAACAGTCTAATCCTCTTCTGCTTTCAAAACCAGGCAACACTGACCTGTTGCTTGTCATGAGAGTGTTTGGCCTTTAGAGAATGTGGCCCAGCTGAAATCACACTCTGATCCTGTAATCTTTTGTAACCAGTTTCTTTTGCCCAACATAATGACTTTAAGATTCATCCCCAGCCAGGCGGTGGTGGCACACGCCTTTAGTCCTAGCACTTGGGAGGCAGAGACTGGCGGATCTCTGTGAGTTTGAGGCCAACCTGGTCTACAGAGAGAGTACCAGGATAGGCTCCAAAGTTACACGGAGAAACCCTGTCTCAAAAAAAAGATTCATGCCCGATTTTCCATATATGAATAGATTTTTTCCCAACATTGTGTCTATGAACTGTGTCCAGTTCCTGTTCAGGCACATTTGAAGAGTGAGATACAAAGCATATGTGTGAAAATAAGTGATTATTTCTCTTGACTAAGTACTTATAAGTTTCAGGAAGAGTGGGGCACTTTGCATCCCTAGCAGAAATGCATGAGTCTCACTTGCCTCCCAAACTCCCTGGAACCTGCCTCCCAGAGGGAATGTGTATAGTTGAACTTCATGGTGACTTTAATTAAACTTTCAACTAGCTAATGTTGTTGAACATATTTTCAAGTTTCTATTTGCCATCTTTAAAAGCACTCTTTGGTAAATAGCATTCTCAATACACTCAGGAGCTGCTTGTGTGTTGACTGCTGAATGTGGAGAAATGTTTTGAAATTCTTTGGATGGGTTTACAACAATGGTGAACATTTGTTGGTTATGTACAATCTTCCTATAACTGTTTTTTCCAATTCTATGAACAGTGTCTTTTGCTTCAAAGGATTTCAGTATCAACTAAGAAGCAAGGGAGGTAGTTTCAATATTTCAAATTAATTACATGTTTTATTCTTTTTCTTCTATGGATCATGATTTTGGAGGTATGTTTAAGAATTCTTTGTCCACTGTCTTCTTTGAGAACCTTGATAAATTTAATACTCTTCCAACAACATTTTAAAACCATTATGAGGCTTACGACAAACTAGACATTCAGTTTCCTGGTGTGTTTATTTATTTGTTTGTTTATTTATTTATTTATTTTTGGATCCTGTTTTCAAATTTATTCTTCAGCCAAAAGAATAAAAACTTCAGTAGTCAAAGGAGGGAACTAAGTTAACTAGTGGATTTCAGTCATGACAGTGAGAGCCCAATAAAAATTGCAACATTCAATTCATGGGCACTTTTAAAAGGAAAGCTTAATAAGAGCATGTAGTTTCTTTATTTGAGTTCCCCTAACTTTATAAAGAATGTATATTCATTGTAACTTTGGGATTGTTTTTTGTTTGCCTTGTCTATTTCAAGCAGGATTTTTTTTTTATCTAGAATTTCCAAAGGGATAACATTGTATTGAAATTTGGATTCAATAACACAACGACATTCTAAGTCTGATAAAAGCTTTTTCCTTTCCCAGGTCTGAGAGCAAGTTTGTTTTTAAAGTTTCACCAAGACCATCAAAATAACCTTTTACAAAAACAAGGGTTGGCTAAGGTAATTGGTCAGTACTTTGCTGAGAGTTGAGAAATAAAGTGAAATTGTCCATGTGTTAGGAAGCTAAAATTAGACACAACAAGAAATCCAAATATTACTGTTTTTTCCTGTTGGACTAAATAAAACTTCTGCTGATTCCTCAACATTTCCGACAACATATTTGAGCCAGAGTTAAAGAGTTAATACCATTCCCCTCTCACAGTGTTCAGTTTAATGCCCAGCATTGTTTATCCTGCTATTAGGAAGAAATCATTATAAATTATTTTAGTCTCTTGGAACGTTTTCTACTGACACATGAGGTTAAGAGCTAGTGGCCTCTCACTCATGGGAGGGCAGCTATTACTCTAACCAGCTATGTCTAAGGACAATGGAAAATATTGTTTAGGTACTGATGACAGAAACAGGTCCCAGCTATGGGGAACAGGGTGATGTGGTTTATAATGTTTTTAAAAAAGCTGAACACAGTTTTTCAGGTAATTTTTATTTGGAGAAGATTGTTTTTCCAGGTTCAATTACTATCAAAGTTTCCATTCCACCATGGGATTTTTATTTTATGGTTATGAATTCCATGATAAAAATTAAGTCTTGCATTTGTAAAGTTTTGCTCACAAAAAGGGTACTGCAGAAAATTGGAAGCATAGAAGGGAAATGATGCAGAAAAAAGAAAAGAAATTTTAATAATTCTGTAGGAGTGCCATTTCCACATGGAAGTCACAGGAAAACTATTTGATATGAAAAATTTTTCTTCCACCAAACAGCATTCATTCCAAAAATTACATTTTCCAAAAAGATATTTTTATCACATTGATATAAATTGGCATGTTTATCTTTGTTAGATCACACATCAATGATCATCAGACTGAAAGGAATTATCTTGTCTTCTATCACTTCAATAATTTAATTAAGTGAATGCTGTAGATATTAGATAGAGGGTGACTTTTCACCTGTTCTACACAAAATCTTAGTATGTCTCCAGCTTAAAAACACAGAAACGTACTGACAGATGAGTAGCACACAGAGTCCTTTGAGATGAGAAATCCTCATTGCCACAAAGGGCTCTGCTAGGAGTTTGTTCCATAAGCTTCAACTTTCTGTAGTTTGAAGTGGGGCCTTAGTAAGTTGATCTTCTACTGTCTAAAAACTGCAATTTGAAGCAAGCTATCTAGCCAACATAATCCTTACTGTTTCATCTTTAAAGAGCCATAGCTGCTCTTGGCATACTTAGTAAGATAGGGAAAGTAAGAGAACATTTAGAGAACTGTCTCTACACCAGCACAAGGTATTATCATGTAGTCTAAAGCTATGCTGAATTAAAACAAAACAAATAAAATGACTCAGGTCATACCTTTATTGTAGGGATATAGTCTATGGGGATGCAATTGAAATGCTTGATCTTTCTAAACCATTGTAATTTTCATCTTTTTAAAAGTAAAACTTCAGCACTCAGGAAGGCAGAGACAGGTAGATCTCTGTGAGTTTGAGGTCAGCCTGCTCTACATGATGAGTTCCAGGACAGCCAGAGCTACACAGGGAAACCCTATCTCAAAAAATGTAAAATAAAATTGAAAAAAAGAAACAAAATGAAAATAAAGACAATAAAATTTGTTTCATCTGAAAGCTCTGGTCAGATTTTAGAAGCAACCTTTGTTACCACCTTTGAAAATAATCTGAGGACCCAGCATATGCCCTGGCTATCCAATGCAAAAGTCTCTTCTCCACTAACACAAAAACAAACCTGCCCACAAAAAAGACTCCGTTTGAATCGTACAACAGAAAATATTTATATACTTCTCTGTATCTGTCCCCTCAAGGACCTGAGTTTTCCTCTCTGTGGAGACTGATTTTTGAGAAGGCCAGAGAAGGCCTCAAACATTTTTGAGTGTATGCTAGATTTGGGCAGAGCCTTCTCTGTGAACCTTGACCACAAAGGAAGCCTTTCTTTCTTTGGAAAGACTTTAGACCTCAGAGATTTTTGTTGTCAACTTACATGGTTGGGAGTCCTAATAGACAGGTTCAGGCACAACAGGCCTGCAGTTTAGGATAAGAGACTCTGACTTAGCTCATCAGTGTTCCCATTTTATATTCCTATTCATACCATCCATTTTTGTGCATATTCCAGTTCACTGGAGAA